GTCCTAACTCTGCATTCAGATTTATAATACAGTGCAAAACTATGCGTTCAGACCGCAAAAATAGGTCTACTTTGGCATTCAGCCAACGTGGAGTTCGGCCCTGAAGCGCTATTTGTCAGCGTTGAACTCGTTCAAGCAAAGCACGACCGTGAACGGTTTCAAAACCCTTTTTCCCACGATATTGCGGGAGCTGTTTAAGGGGCGGGTTACACCACATCAGCCCCACTTAGGAGCGAATTAAGGGGGCGGTTATACCCCTTAATCCCCTATAAATAGAGGGGAAACCTCAATTGAGTTCGGGCTCTCAGATGTCATCTTCTTTTTGGAGCCTTGGACTTGGTCAGCGAGCGGGAGGTTTCGTTGGCTTTTTTGTGGGGAATTGTTAGGCTTTGAGATCGGAAAGTATAACTTTCTTTCATATTGTCTTACAAACTAATTTCGTTTTAAATCAACTCTTTCATAGAGTTTCAAACTCGTCCAGAGTTCTAACACTTGCTTTGCAAGTTCTCTATAGCGTCAAATCGTGAGGAGAAGACCACGTTCCAGTAAAACAAGACGTTCGGATCATCAACGGAGAGCAAACTCGACGCGAGCATTCGAGGGAGATACTCCATCGCCACCGTGAAGAACCCAGACTTAAACAAAGGGGAGGATTTAGATCAATTCTCCTCTCTTTTGTAATCGGGAAATTCAAATTGTAATCGAGATTGAGAGAGTTGTAAATATTCTTTTTCTGAGTCTGTCAGAGAGAATAAATCAAACACAGTTCTTTTATTTTCATTTATCAAATTTTCCACTAAACACTCTCTTAAAATTCACCATGCAAAAAAAGATTATTTACACTTTGGTAACCGAAAGTTTACACCTTTTAACTTTAATACCAAAGGTTTTTGGCAATTAGATACCCTAAAGTTCACACCTTTTTAATTTTGATACCTCAAAGTTTTTTTGACACTTCTGTTAAAACAAAGTTTATATCTTGTTAACTTTGATACCAAAAGTCTTTTTTTGATACTTGATGCAATAAACTTTTTCTAAAAACTTTACGATATTAGAGTTAAAAAAATTAAAACATTGGCTACCAAAGTAAAAAAAGAGGAATTTTTAAGGTATGAAAGTTAAAAAATGTATAAACGTTAGGGTAGCAAAGTGTCAAAAAAGGTTCGGGGTATCAAAGGCAAAATTTTTGGGTATCATAGTGTCAAATAAATTTGTGGATATCAAAATTTTAAAATAATGTAAACATTAGAGTGCCTAATTGCAAACGACTCTTTGAAAACATTAGATGATGATATTTTGGATATCGAGGGTAAAATTATAATAAGACCAGGAATTTGGTGGAGTAATGAGCAATTATTTAGATTGAGATACTAATATAAACTATTGAAGGTTTAAGGGACCAATATCTAAACAACGTGTAAAAATATCCTCTAAAATTGCAAAATTGTAATAACCTTTTAAAAAAATATTAGATGATGGTATTTTCATCAATGAAGTACCAAATTAAAATGACCTTAGAATTGAGGGACTAATGAGCAATTGTTGAGATTTGATGGGCTAATATGCAATTATTGAGATTTAAAGGTCTAATTAGAAATTTACTGAGATTTGAGGGGCTAAATATCACTTATTGGAGTTTGAAGGACGAAGCTAAAAATAATAACCTTGATTTGAAAAAAACCGGAGGAGGATTGGGGGTAGAGATTGGGACCTACAGTCCTTGTGTTGTTTCTATGAGCTTTAACCAACTAAGACATGCTTCAATTAAAAAAAATCACAAAAAGATAATTAATAAACAAATTACCATTCATTTTCACAGTAACTACGATACTAACTCTAATAACTTTAGTATTATGCGAGTAAAATTGACCCGTGCGTTATCATGACATTTGCTGTGAAAAAAAATCAAAAATACAGTTTTAAGTATTTGGCTTAAAAATACATTATACACTTAATACTTTGAATAAGATGACAAGTTAAAGCAAAATATATCATCTTAAAATAATACAAAACTAAATATACAATAGTTTAAAATTAATTCTTTCAAGTATGTTAAATCCAAGGTGATCTAGAAAGTGTGTGGGTGTAAAAGTAAATGAAAGTAAACTTTTGGTATAAAAATTCTTTAAAAAGTGAGTGAGTTTAAAATAAATGAGACAAAAAACGCATCTCACAGTTCACTTTGGAAAAGCTAAAATATAATGGTTAAAACATCTGGCGTTTAAAAATAAATGAGGCAAAAACGCATCTACAGTTCACTTTGGGAAAAGCTAAAAAATAATGGTTAAAACATCTGATTACATAGGTTACATAACCATTTAGGAAAAATAACTACAAATATGAGTAAGCTCAAAAATGGAGGGGAACTTTGGGCTTAGAGGCCAAAAAAATATGGATTAAATATTTTAGTTAAAACTATACACCATAGTTGACCACTTAAAACAAAAATAAACACTCATAATGTATACCAAACCGTTGAAATACAACATAGATTTAAATAATGTTGAGTATTTTGTGTTTAAGAATAGGTTTGGGATTGAATGAGTTGAAAATAAATAATATACTTTGGATAGAACGAAAATATACAAAGTTTTAACAAAATATAGAAAATCATATATGATGTGTTAGTATGTAAAGTGAGTTTAAGTTGTTTGAATAATTATTTTGAATCTCAAGAGTGAGCTCAGAGGTGAATCTCACTCGGAGGTGAATGACTTTAATAATAAATGAAGGCAAGATTTTGGGTGTATGCACAATAACTCCTTTAAGGAAGATAGCAACTTTAAACCAATGGGCTAAAATTTTGAGTTTATACACAGAAAACATTTTTGATGCCGCCTCATTAGCATGGAAAAAATAAAATAAAAATGCAACATTGTTAAGTATTTGATTTATATAATATATTGGTACCAAAACAATATGATTTCTATGAAAACCACTCATATAAAGTGGTGTGGTTTACACCATTAATAGAATAATCATATTCACAACAACTAACCATTTAAACCACCCATGAGTGACATAGTTTCCCCTATTAAATAGGGTATTCTGATAGAATTCATACTCCACCTAACCATTTAGAACAAATTTTTACATGTTAAATGAAAATATAATAACTTACATGTATAGAAAACCGAAAGAATACTTTTGATTTAGGAAAAAATCTTTGCAAAGTGGTGAATTTAAAATAAATGAGCATAAAACCTTGAACTTATAGGAAAAACTCTACCATTTGTGAGCTTGCAACAATGTGAACAAAACTAAAATAATGCTTAAGCATTTCGTCTGAAACCTTGTACACCTTGATTATTAAAAAGCAATAATAAGTCATAGTGGAATATAAAAACTTAACCATATGTACAAATCATTACAAATAGTTTTAAAAGAGGTTGGTGATCTATTCTATATTAGAGTAATATCTTTTGTGTTAGTTTAAAAATAATATATCTATACTTGATTTATGAATAAAATATCTGTAATTGTATATGGAAAATAAATATATAAACTAATACCAATCAATCTGACTTATGATATAAAAAATTTATGAATATAATTTAAAAGTAATTCATATTTAGAAGATTAGAAGACTGATTGGGAGAAGTAGAATTTAAAAATATATAAGGTATTTGGGTTTATAGAAAAAAAAATATTTATACGGTTCTTTATAATATTATTATATTATATATATTAGAGTTATAGGGTATTTTAGTTGATGATTAATTTTTCAAGTGATTGAGCTTAAAAGTAAATTGTGTTAGCTTATTGGCTTTATAGATAAATAATTTACTTATTTATTATTACTTTTACCTACATTAAACTGATATTGTTGGAGCTGAGAAATTTCAAACCACGGAACACTATGTAATGTTAAAATGAAAATATAATAACTTACATGTATAGAAAACCGAAAGAATACTTTTGATTTAGGAAAAAAATCTTTGCAAAGTGGGTGAATTTAAAAATAAATGAGCATAAAACCTTGAACTTATAGGAAAAACTCTACCATTTGTGAGCTTGCAACAATGTGAACAAAACCTAAAATAATGCTTAAGCATTTCGTCTGAAACCTTGTACACCTTGATTATTAAAAAGCAATATAATAAGTCATAGTGGAATATAAACAACTTAAACCATATGTACAAATCATTACAAATTAAGTTTTAAAAGAGGTTGGTGTCTATTCTAAGAGTGATTTTCTTGGTGTGTAGTTTAAAAATAAATGATCTAATACTTTAGATTTATAATAAAAAAAATCCTTGTAATTGGTAGGTTTGAAAATAAATAAGGATAAGATTTATAGCTAAATAACCAATCTACAATTGCAACTTATGATATAAAAAATTTATGAAATATAAATTTAAAAGTAATTCAATGGAGAAGTTTAGGTCAAAGACTGATTGTGAAGTGAGTGAATTTAAAAATAAGTATAGGTATTTTGGGTTTATAGAAAAAAAAACTATTTATACGGTTCTTTATTATATTATTATATTATATTATTAGAGTTGATAGGGTATTTTAGGTTGATGATTAATTTTTCAAGTGATTGAGCTTAAAAGTAAATTGTGTTAGCTTATTGGCTTTATAGATAAAAATATTACTTATTTATTATTACTTTTACCTACACTAAACTGATATTGTGGAGCTGAGAAAATTTTCAAACCCACGGAACACTATGTGCTTGAGATGGATTTTTAAAATGCTGGACTTATAGGCAAATTACGTTGAACGTTGGGTTTGTAAACGGAAATTAGTTATTGTCTCCTTCAACAATAAGCCACCGGGGTGTACAGTAGACTAAATAGCTCTAAGTTACAATACTAACCCCGATAGCTTTAGTATATATATAATAAATCTTAAAAATGCTTTTCTTTGATTCCTATTTTGAAAATACCAAACCAGAAAAAAGGGGAAAAAGAAAAGAAAAGAAAAGTAAAAAGGTATAGAAATGAAACCCGCACAATCTTCTGAATCAAAAAGCTCACCAGTGAGGTCCGGCCCATGTTTAAATTACTGGAGAGAGAACTTACGTACATCTTTCACAGTCGCACTAACCTCCCGTCTGGTCTTAATTCTTTAGCCGCCTGATCCCTTTTAACCATTTTAATCCGACTCCCAAATAATAATATTCGCCTCGTGTCAAGAACAGGAAGAAAAAAGAAAGAAAAAAAAGAAGGGGAAAAAAAAACAGCTGCCCTCAGATCTGCTTCGGTGAGGTTCCTCAGATCCGATCTCCTTTCATCATCTAAATCCGATTCCCATTCTTTTCCAATTTCGTTGGCGTTCTGATCTCTGGATCTTGAAGAAGCTTGTGATTCTATTTTTGGTTCAGATCTCGAGGAGGAGGAGGAGGAGGAGGAGGAGGTCTCAACAATGGCGGGCGCCGCCGGCGGTTTCGTGACCCGCTCTTTCGAGGCGATGCTCAAAGAGTGCGCCACCGCGAAGAAGTATTCGGCTCTTCAGCAATCAATTCAAAGTTGTTTAGGTCGGTATCATACATCTTAAACCTTATTTAACTTTAATTTGGGGAATTTATGGAAAATTTCTAGATTTATGAGGTTACATTTAGAAATTAGGGTTTATTTCAGTACCATCAGTTGAACATGCATCCCAAGGATTCTTTAATAGCTCAGCTAATGTGAGATCGCTTCGTGTCTGTGCCCATAATTCAGTGAATAATTGTCTCTTATCGTCTCCATCGCCATTAATAAGTGCCTAGTGTAGAACCTAGGATCGTTGTGCATTGCGGGACTGAGATTGTACACCCTCAAACAGACTTCCAGAGCGATACAAAACACATGATACCATTTGTATGTAATGAAATCTACTAAATAGTGGAACAAAATTGTCGAATGGGTTTTTACGTTGTATGATCAACTGGGGTGAGCAATTTGTGACCTGGCCTGTTAAACCTACTTAATAAAATTCATTTTGAATTGAGTATCATTAATGTCACTAAAAGAAAAATCTCAACTAACTAGGTCATCAAGTCAAAAAGCTGAAATGCCAACCTTACCATATGCTATGATATTCCTTCATCTTTCAATTGTCACATGGTAACCCCATGCCATCCCAAAAATCTCAATTCTCAAGATCAAATCTTGGATCTTATATTCTTTCAAATTTTAAAGGACAAGGTTACCCTCACATACCTATAATTCTCAATATATCCATGCAATATATACTTCCTGATATGAAGTCAAATCGAATTTAAATCTTGTATGACAAATGTATGCCCTTTAATCCCTATTCAGGGTATGTTGAACTTCAGTTAGCCAATGTAAACACCCTATATGGGTAATCAAAACCCTTTAGGAAATCAAGTTGAATCATAGTTGCGTAATTCTTTGGACCCCCTCGAACTGTCGTACAATACCTACGAACCGGTCCCGGTACATTTGCGAACCAATTCCCTCTGATACGTGAATCGATTCCTCAGAATTGGCGCACTGGTTACATCTATGTGGGGCGCAAAGTCCCTTTCTGTGCACATGAGCAAGACACAATGCGACGTGCGCAATCTAGTGAAGGGAGACAGAAAAGAGTATACGTATCGATGACTTTATTGCAACTGAATATCTATGCTAATAAAACACGAACTGAAACCACCTTCCCAAAACGAATGAAACCACCATCCCAACACGAAGTATGTAAAAAAGACAAATAGAACAAAATAAAAAACAGAAAAGAAAAAGACAAAAGAAGCTCCCTGGTAATGCAGAGGAAAGTCTCAAAAAAAGAGAATCAACTCCATAAAAATGAAGCATTCAATTATTTTGTTTGAAAGAATATTGAAATGCATAATTAGCTTAGTTCTAGCTTTCTACTATATACTTCAAAAAATTAAATTCGCACTCAACAAATATTTATAACATACCACATACCAAACTTGTGTAATGTGTACCAAAGCAAGCTACCCCCTTCAAATCCAAATTTTCTAAATGGCAAATTGCGTACCTGAATTCGTACCCTGTCCTGCTATATACCGCTTATTGCGTAACAATGAGTTAAACTGTTTGAATTCCAAGCTTATGTACCTCTGTTACTTTGTTCATTTATTGGGTTTTTTTTTGTAACTGAGATTAAATAATCAGACCAGAGGTTAAATCATAGAGCTCATGATTGTCCTTGACGTGTAATGCATATACAAACTTAACTAAGCTGATTCAAGCCTGAGCAGATTCTGCTTAGTATAAGCAACCTTTCTTGCTATTTGATTAGTTAAGAAAACAAGCTACCATGCATTATCAAACTCAATTCATGCTGAAGCTGAAACAGCCCAAAAGAATAATTGAACCAAGTTTAAATGAGTGTGCCTAATTTTGTTTATAACACTCTGCTGATGATCTGTTCTCAGCTTGTTCCCGAAAGAATGTATTATGTCTTCCTGAATATTTTTACTCTTCTCAAAGTTTTCACACAGTAGAAAGCATTTTATATGAGAGTGTAAGTTTATCCCTTAGGGTTCTTAGTGGACATTAATTGTCTAAACTTTTGAGTAGCCTATGGTTCTTTATTTGTTAAAAATGATTCCAAGTAGTAACCAACTCTGTTTTTCTTTGTTATGTTTTTAAAGATTGCTTTTCTACTTCTATTTTGCAGACAACATGAAGAACCAAAAGCCCACTTCTGGTGAAAAGAATCATGTGGTATCATCATCAGCAAATGAGAGGTTGTTTCAAAATTTCTACTACAAAGGCATAAGGCAAATATGGTTTTAGTTTCAGTATCTTGTTATAAGTTGGCCTTATATCCATATGGATTCATATAAGTTCTAAATCACGGTCTAATCTAAATGCTAAATCATGGTCAAACAAGTTCCCATTCTTAGCGGTATTGTCAGATGTGATACTCATAATGTTCGTGAGAAATATTTTTCTTACACTGTCTCGTGTGTTGGCTTGCATGTGCACTCTTTTAGTCTTTTACATATATCTTTGGCACTTAGTTTAATGGGAAAACTAGATAAAGTTGAATAGTCTCTTTTACTTCCATAAACCAGCAGAGCTGATGGGGAAGAACCAGCAAGAGAAGGAACTGGCCCAAGTGACGCACAGGCCATTTCAACTGATGCAGAGGATGCCACTACCACAAACAATCAGATGGAGAGTAGCAGACCTATTACAGTTGTTTTAGCATCAGCTGGACAAGCTCTAGAAGGCGACCAAGCTGAAGTGGTGCTACAGCCAATCAGACTCGCATTTGAAACAAAGAACATAAAACTTGTAGAGCCCGCATTGGATTGTCTTCATGTATGGTGATTTTCTTTATCTGAGTTGATCAACATTATGTTATTGACTATTTTATTTTCAGGACTTATATTTCTGGTAATTGTAGAGATAATGATTTTCTTGGTAGTTGGTATTACTACATTGGTTGGTATATGTAAATACATGTATTGCTATGGTTATTCTGAACCTAATTCTCTATGTTTGACAATTAATAGGAATCAGCTCTAAAGGGAAAATAGCTGCAAATGTATTAAATAATGTTTATTTGGTACAGCTTAGTTAAAATTATTAGATATTGTAAATTATGCACTATGCAGAACAGACTATTCCAAAATAGAAGGTTTTAATTGGAAAAGTAACTTTTCATTGACGAACAATTGTTTTTATACTCTTGGTTTCCATATGTAACCTTGATTTAGCCTATTGTACTCCTATTTTTGGTGTAAGAGCATGCTTTAGCTTCAAGGTACAGCTAATACTATTTGATATTACTAACTTATCGATCTTCTTATAAAGTTGTAATATGTAGAACATGTGTTCATTACGTGTTCATCAGTAAGCGTAACACATCACATGCGGCATAAACACATTACACGATTTACTTAGAAATGATTTTTTTTTGTTTCAATCTTAATGTGTTCTGATTTATCATAAAGCGATGTTGCAAACTTTTCCTAAACTTTTAAAGGAAATATTGATCAAAGTAACAGCACTTGACTTTAAAGGAAGCATGCAATATACACAATAAGTGAGCAAATGATTATATGATAGCAAAATTAAATATTTTATGCTGCTAGTATTTGTAGCTGAAGCAGCAAAAGAGGGGCTTAAAAAAAACTACAATTAAGAAACCGAAAACATATAATAGTTTTTGTAATCAAGTGCCGACACATGGCTTGTCCAAATAATTGTAGTGTAAACTGTTATTCGACGCTTCGTTCACCCTCACAATGTCATATGGCGGCATAAACTTTGTTCATATTCAAATAGTTGTTGCAATAAATTTTATGGAACAGGTTATTCCTTATATGCCGGCGATTAGTGATTAAATCTTGATGATTACTAAATCATAAAATTTATACAATGGGCTCTGTATACACACCTTGATTTATCATATATTCTGCTTTTATCATAAGAATATTGATATCTCCGACATATAGCTATGGAGGAGGGTAAGATAAAGGACTTAAAAAGTGGTTCAATGAGACGGCTAGTTTTGTCAAGAAATGTTGTGTACCAATATTTGATGTGCAATTATCTTTTCAGGTGTGATATAAAATAATACTAAAAATGTGCTGGGTCTTTCACTTTTATAAATTCGTTTAGTCACTGTAATACATTTTTCAAATGTTTACTTTTCTTGAATAATGAGGGTGGTGATAATTTCTTCTCTTGCTTTCTCTTTCANTGCTCTGTAGTTTACTATGACAACTTCAAAATATTTGCAAACATATAATTTCTATGTTGTAATTCACTCTACAGTTGTTTTTCTAGAAGAAAACAAGTTAATAGAGATTGCCTATGGGAGATGTAGCTCAGTAAGATGAGTAGTACAAGTTGTAGTGGAACATACACTTAAAGAAGAAAGTATAGATGAATAGGGAATGTGCCTTTAATTGAAGTGAAGAAATCAATAAGAAGTCATATACTCATAGCTTTAAATAAACTTCAGAATAGACTCAATTGTTCTATAACTTAATAAGAGAAGAATAAAGTGATGCTACAACAGCTATAACATTAAAGGACATATATCCAACATTGTTGGATCTTGTATATCGAAGAAACTTTTGTAATAACTATTTCCAGTTGGATTGCAAATGAACTTGAACCTTACTCTGTGTATGTTATCTCCCTTCCAAATCCATTTTCATGAATCAATCAGTACAGTCCATAGTTTGCCATCCCCTCCCTCTGTTAACAAAGGAAAAAATTACTATAATTCCTATATTTTCACAAATAACTCATTGTAACTATTGCACATAATCACCGATGATGACATTCTGATTCATATGCATTGATATCAGAAACTCATTGCTTACGACCATTTAGAAGGTGATCCTGGTCTGGAAGGGGGCAAAAGTGATCCATTGTTCACGGATATTCTCAACATGATTTGTGGTTGTGTTGATAATTCTTCATCCGACAGGTCTGTCTTCATTTTATTAGTTGCTATTTGGCGATTGTTCTTTGAGTCTGACAAATTACTGTCAACATTTTGGATCGCAGTACTATTCTACAGGTATTGAAAGTGCTGCTTACCGCTGTGTCATCTACAAGGTTTAGAGGTATGTTGTCGAAGATTTTTTTTTTCCTGTTCAAGATGAATGACTAATTTTATGGATACCTATTAATATAGAACTCATTAGTTTAGATTGAAATCCTATATTTAGATTTTCTTCTTAGCCTTTTCAACAATTTGTAATATACTCATACTATTGGTAACCTCCTTTTATCTGTTGTTGCTGAAGATGAGAGAGACAAGATTGTTTAACTTGTATATTCTCCAGCTATCTAGTTGCTTTCTAGATGTACAACTACGGGCTGCATTGAACTTATTTGAACTAGTTGAGCAATAATAGCTGTACTTGAATTTAAGATTATTTAATTTGGTTCTTAGTATCATATGGTGGATTTCTGATACTTCAGAAATGCATGCACTTATCTCGAGAAGTGGGATGTACAAAGCTCTCAACCATAGCTTTTGCTGCCATGTGAAACCATATTTTGCTAAGATTGTGAGACTACCACGACTGACTTGTGCATAACTTCTTCAAAGTTTAAAAGTTTGATCCTATACACTTTATATAAGAATTCTTTAAGAGTTGTATAAGAAAAAAAAAAATCTTTGTCGCTTGATGTGGTACTGGCTACATTAGCACACATCTACACTTACGTTTACATTTGGTACAGTGGTACTTAAGGGATTTATTTTTAAAAACATGCTTGAATAATGTTTTTGAACTTATATAACTTATAAACATTTTGGAACGGAGACCGCAGCTTGGGCTTGATATTGGACCTCTCTTAACGCTACCCTGATTTACAGTTTATTCAAGCCTCAGTGGCTGATCTAATAATTATTTGAGCATGGTATACAGTAATTTTTCAAAAAACTTATGTTTTAGTGGGCTCAGTATTACTTTTATTTGTTAGTCAGTGATTAATTACAAATTCATTAACGTTAAATCTGTTTTGCATCAAAGCATTTTAAGTCTGAGTCTTTGGTCAGCTTTTGGTACCTAGTTGTATCTCACAAAAATACTTATTTAATATTTAAAAAAATCTCTATCAATATATCGGATGTGGATCAATTTAAAGCATGTTTGGCAAATGGTAAAAGTAGATTATAATCCACTTTTTTGGTGTTTAGCAAGTGGATTACCTTGGATTATTATCAAGCAAAAATAGGCAGGGGGTACCTGGCTTATTTTTTGGTGGATTATAATCCATGAAGTTTGACCGATTAAAACACAATTTTACCTGTCATGATTACACAAATTCCCAATCCCATTTCTTAAAAACTCCATTAGGCTACAACCATCAATTTTTTTTTGTCGTTGTGACAAAAATGATGTATTATATAATCCACCCATTTCCCAAACATGTAAAGCTTGAAAATGGATTATAATCGACTAACTTTACCCAACACTTGAATTTCAATCCACTTGAATATAACCCAAGTGGATTATAATCCATATTTCCCAAACATGCTTTTAGAAGAATCCACTGTCGAGTTGATATAATAAAATGAGATGTTATTTTACACCTTTGGAAGTGAAATCATTGTAATTGCATTTCCATCTTATACTTAAAAATACTACTTGTTTTAAATACAGTGCATGGAGAGCCATTGTTGGGGGTCATAAGGGTTTGCTACAACATCGCTCTTAACAGGTACATGTCACTTTATTTTCTTATAAATCTTTGAGAAAGGACTCGTAAGTTGTTACTAACATTATGTTGTATAATCTGAATGGATAGCAAGAGTCCTATAAACCAGGCAACCTCTAAGGCTATGCTGACCCAAATGATCAGCATGGTGTTCAGGCGCATGGAATCTGATCAGGTGAGCTTATCTTATTATTTCTACTTGAAAGTATTGCAATAATAGTAGTGTAAATCTTTTATGAGTCTCATTTTTGAGAAATTTAGAAATCTCTTTCTGCAAATTCAGGTCCCTGTTATATCTTCTAGTGGTCATGTCGACACAGAGGTCACTTCGGCTAGCTCCATGAATTCCGATGATGGAGAAATAACAATGGCTGATCAAGATGATAAAGGAACCACTCTGGGAGATGCTCTGTCCATGACCCGAGGGAAGGACGCTTCTCCAGCTTCTGTGGAGGAACTCCAAAATTTGGCTGGTGGCGCTGATATCAAGGTGATTCTCTCATCATCATCATCATCATCGTTATTAGAGGATCATGGGTCACTTGCAGTAATTTAGTTTTCCTTATATGCTATGTGTAATATTTTGACATTTATTTCAGGGACTGGAGGCTGTTCTAGACAAGGCTGTACATCTCGAAGATGGAAATAAAATATCACGGTATGGGAAGTTGCTCAAGCTCATTATATCTGATCAGACCATATACTGATTGAGTACCAGCAGATTTAAGTGTCTTCCTTTTTTCTTCTTCTGTCAGGGGGCTTGACCTCGAGAGCATGAGTGTTGCACAGCGTGATGCTTTGTTACTGTTTCGCACACTTTGCAAGGTTCAAGTCAAACTGTACTGATTTGTTTCATAGCCTATGCTATGCTTATTTTCTACCTTCAAACTTGGTCAATGTGACTACAGATGGGTATGAAGGAAGAGAATGATGAGGTTACCACAAAGACAAGGCTTTTGTCTCTGGAGCTCCTCCTGGTTCGTTCTACATCTTTCCCGAATATGTTTGTTTCTTTTGTATGCAAATGCAAACCGCCTTATACCAAAAAATCCACTTTTCTAAACTTCCCATTTATGTTTGAAGATATTCTGAACCTTTTATCAATATTTTAGGGTAGATAGGTAACTCCTAGCCTCTTCCAGTTATGTGGAAAGATTCCTTAAACTATAGGTTTTGCCACAAAACTTGTGACTTTCCCCATCACAAGCGGGGGTTATACCAATTATGCAAGTCTCTTTTGCTATTTGCTTTTGTATTTCAAGTACTTACATGTTCGGTTGTTGTTGCCCTGAGACTAAGTTGCATAGATACGGGTATGATACGAGTACGGGACATGGCAAATTGGTACAGGTAGGGTACGGGATCATGGCTATATAGATGTATATTATGTATAAATTATATGTATTAAAATTAATAATTATTATCAATGTTGTTTTTTCATTTACATAAGATCAACATATAAGAAATGGATGTGAAGTGTAGAATATATGTCCAAGAAGTGTATGAGGATTGTTTTAAATTAAAACATGTATTACATAATTGAGTATACGCCTGAACAAACGTATGCATATATTCAAGAAGTGTCCGAGAAGTTTCAGTGGGTACGGGTGCATGTACATGTTGGGTATGGCTATGGCTTTCGATTTGAAGTACCCAGATAACATAGCCTGAGAATACATATTGGCTTGTTTGCAGGGTCTATTAGAAGGAGTGAGCCAATCCTTTACCAAGAATTTTCACTTTATTGACTCAGTTAAAGCATATCTTTCTTATGCATTATTGCGGGCGTCTGTTTCGTCTTCTCCAATTGTATTTCAGGTCAGTGGTTTGTGCATATGATTCACTTTTTTGTTACGTAGTTGCTGTAATTTTCCTGCATGGTAGTTGATATTCCATGCTGAAATTTTACTTGTCTAATTTTTGACTTCTGTGGTACTTTTGTTTCTTGGTTCTGGATTTAAATCCTTCTTTTTTGTCTTGCAGCATGCTACTGGAATCTTCATAGTGCTTTTACAGAGGTTTAGGGAAAGTCTTAAGGTATGCGAACATGTCTTATGTGGTCATCATATCAAAAGCCCTTTGTTGGGCTATTGGATGATATGTTTGTCTGTGTGTTGTCTGCAGGGGGAAATTGGTGTCTTTTTTCCTCTGATAATCTTAAGGTCATTGGATAGTTCTGAGAGTCCCCTTAGCCACAGGACAACAGTTTTGCGGTAATGTTTTTTCCCTTTTTTCTGGATGCCCTTTGAGTTACTTGTACGCAAATCACCATAACATAAGATCCTTGGCTATGTTGTTGATCTGGTGACTTTTCTCCTCTCAACATGAATTGAATTTTCTTTCAGGATGCTTGAGAAAGTGTCTAAAGATCCACAAATGCTTGTAGACATATTTGTTAACTATGATTGTGATCTCAATGCACCAAATCTCTTTGAGCGCATGGTAAATCTTGCCAAATAACTAAATTTATGCGTTTCGTTATTGTTTGTCTTTAATATAATCCTTACTTACTACACCAGTTCATCCGCCGAAATAGGTTAATTCTCTATCAAGAATAGCACAAGGAACTCAAAGCACAGATCCCACCCCAACTGCTTCGGTTCAAGCTACATCCGTTAAAGGTTCATCTCTTCAGGTATTTTCTTTTCAAATTTCATGATTTCTTTTCGGTTGGTATTCATGTTGTGTATAATTATTTCCTCATCTTATTTACGTACTATATCTTTTACAGTGCCTGGTTAGTGTGCTGAAGTCTTTAGTTGATTGGGAAAAGCTAAAAGGAGACTCTACAAAACAAGGGAGTGTTATTCACTCTCTTGAAGAGGAGGCTTTGGCTAGGGAAAAAAATGCTGCTGATGAGTCGAAAAGCCGAGATGTACCTAATCAGTTTGAGAAAGCAAAAGCTCATAAATCTACCATGGAAGCTGCAATATCAGAGGTATCCTAGCTAGTTCGTAGGTAGTTTTTTGTTTTAGTGAGTTGAGAAAGGAAGCTAAGGAAAGAAAATTTGATTCTGATTTTCTAATGTTCCCCCACCAGTTACTTCTTTGTAGTAGATATTATTTAAAAAAAAGGCAAGACTGACCTTTTTTTTTGGAACCTCCATGTCTTTGCCATGTCTTCGTTCCATTATTTTTCTGTTATGAAGCGAGAGGCAACAGCTGCAAATTTGCTGAACATGCTTGATATAAACTAGGGTTTGCCTCTCTGCTAGCCATCAAGCTTTGATAGTGAATAGAAAAGTTGATAGCATCTGTGAGCGATGATCTTCCATGCCACGCCACCTCAGATGTGGTGCATACACAATGTAGTTCTTTTGCAATCAGAGAAGAGATGCTGTAGTGGGGTCATAAATCAAGTTATAAGAGTGGAAGTTCTAGTTAGGCATAAATTTCTCGATTGAGTAGGAACAGTGATTTCTTTGTGAACAAGCAGAGGGAATTTATTTTCTTATCTATGAAATTAGAATTTATTGAGCATTGAAACTGCTCCCTTGCCCAGTTTCCTCTGTTAAAGGAATGCATTATTAACATGGTTTATTTAACTGTCCAGTTTAACCGTAAACCGGGGAAAGGAATTGACTATTTGCTGTCAAATAAGTTGGTTGAAAACAAAGCTTCTTCAGTGGCTCAATTTCTGAAGAGTACTCCTAGTTTGGATAAGGTACTTTCCATGGAATGTGTTATCATGCTTTTACTGAAATATAATTGTATAACCTTTCAAACCTTGTAGGCTATGATTGGTGAATATCTGGGTCAGCATGAGGAGTTTCCCCTTGCTGTCATGCATGCTTATGTTGATTCCATGAAGTTCACAGGCCTGAAGTTTGATGCCGCAATCCGTGAATTTCTCAAGGGATTTCGGCTTCCTGGCGAAGCACAAAAAATTGATCGCGTCATGGAAAAGTTTGCAGAGCGGTAATTGTGTTTCAGTGTTTTATGTTGGTTACTACTGTATGTCATTTTTTGCTTGTGCTCATCTGATAACATCTGAATTTTGGCAGATACTGTGCTGATAACCCCGGACTGTTCAATAATGCCGATACTGCATATGTTCTTGCATATGCAGTTATAATGTTGAATACTGATGCTCACAACCCGATGGTGTGGCCTAAAATGTCCAAAGCTGATTTTGTACGTATGAACTCTGGAAGTGATCCAGAAGACTCTCCCCCAAAGGAGCTCCTAGAGGAGATTTATGATTCTATTGTCAGTGAGGAAATAAAGATGAAAGATGATATATCAGGTGTGGCTAAGAATAGCGGGCAGAGGCCAGAAACAGAAGAGAGGGGCCGTCTTGTCAATGTTCTTAATTTGGCCCTTCCTAAGAGGAAGTCAGTAACAGATACTAAGTCAGAGAGTGAACAAATAATTAAGCAAATGCAGGCTTTTTTTAAGAATCAAGGGGCAAAAAGGGGCATTTTCTACACTGCTGAGCAGGTTGATCTTGTTAGGCCAATGCTTGAAGCTGTGGGATGGCCTTTGCTTGCAACATTTTCTGTTACTATGGAGGAAGGTGATAATAAACCGAGGGTCCTTCTTTGTATGGAAGGTTTCAAAGCCGGTATACATCTTACACGTGCCCTGGGAATGGACACAATGCGCTATGCCTTTTTGACCTCCTTAGTGCGGTATGTCTTTTTTCTCTTTGATTGAGTTTCTTGGGTTTGTGTTAAAGTTATGGTCCATCAGAGCGCTGATTACTTCATAGAAGGTTATGATACATTTTCTGTTAGCTGAACTTTTTCTTGCGTGTATTGTTGCAGCTACACATTTTTGCATGCTCCCAAGGATATGCGTAGTAAAAATGTTGAGGCATTACGAACTCTTCTTGCGTTAGGTGATATTGAAACAGATTCCTTGCAGGACACATGGAATGCTGTTCTTGAGTGTGTTTCTAGGCTTGAATATATCACATCAACCCCAGCCGTTGCATCAACTGTCATGCAGGGTTCAAATCAAATATCTAGGGATTCAGTTCTTCAGTCACTTCGCGAGTTATCTGGGAAACCTGCTGAGCAAGTATTTGTAAACAGTGTCAAACTGCCTAGTGATTCAATTGTAGAGTTCTTCACTGCTCTTTGTGGTGTTTCTGCTGAGGAACTGAAACAAACACCAGCTCGTGTTTTTAGCTTACAAAAACTTGTCGAGATAAGCTATTACAATATGGCTCGCATCCGCCTGGTATGTTATATACTTACAATACCTCTTGCCTGCACTTTTTTAATAGTCATTTTCTATGTGTAATTATGTGTCTATTTTTCATATAAAGATGAAATTAAATTCAGTTTGTCCTCGATCAAGTTTTGTGCCTGGTGTATTTGTTGTTTATGTCATTTTGTGATTGGTAAATGTCAAGGTAAAACTAGAGACATACGTGTAGATGGGAAATAATTGGCTAGTTATATTGCTGGTTGGTAAAGTAGTTAGAAACTTCGGAGGGAGAAATTACATGCAAGTGTGCTGAAGTGAGATAAAAATAAAATGTGGAAAAGTTAGACTTGAGTTTGTCCCCAAAACTGAAGACCTGCACAATTGGCTGGGGTGGGTTGAGAAAAGTTGTTGGACTTGAGTTGAAGTCCCCAAAACCAAATAAATCTGTGCTATCCAACCTGACCTGGCCAAAATTTTTATTTGAAAGTGTACTGCACTGTAGATTTTATTTGTGAATAAGTTATTTTGTATTTTATCTGCGAACAGAATGCACGATGTTGTTTGTCAACATATAATGCACAATTTCAGCTTTAGTCCTTTCCTGTTCTCAGTACATGTTCAGGTTGTGGTCCCAATTATTGCTGTTCTGCTTACTCTTGATTATCTTGTTGTATCCAGGTGTGGGCCAAAATATGGTTTGTCTTGTCTCAGCATTTTATCGTTGCTGGGAGTCACCATGATGAGAAAATTGCTATGTATGCAATTGATTCATTGAGGCAACTTGGTATGAAGTACTTGGAGCGGGCTGAGCTTGCTAACTTCACTTTTCAGAATGACATATTGAAGCCATTTGTTATTCTCATGCGGAATAGTCGTAGTGAGACCATTCGCGGCCTGATTGTCGATTGTATTGTTCAGGTAACTCTAGGCTGCATGAGTTTATATATCATTTATGCAGTCTGCTCTGTGATGCTTTTATATTTGGAGAAGCTACAGTCTAATCACACTAAAGAAATTAACTTTTGATCATGGGACAGATGATAAAATCAAAGGTTGGTAGCATAAAATCTGGTTGGCGAAGTGTATTTATGATCTTCACTGCAGCTGCTAATGATGAGCTTGAATCTATTGTTGATAGTGCATTTGAAAATGTAGAACAGGGTATGCAGTATGCTTTCTTTCTCTAAAACTTACTACTTTTAACTGCTTATTTGCCGATTCCAGCTTCATGCCATACTTTTGACTCTTTACTTAAGGGGGAAGAGATTTTTTTAGCTTTCATTTCCTACATTTTTATGATTTAATCACAATAGTTCCATCAAATTGCAGTTATTTTGGAACACTTCGATCAGGTTATTGGTGACTGCTTTATGGACTGTGTCAATTGTCTCATTGGTTTTGGCAACAACAAAAGCTCTTCTCGGATAAGTTTGAAGGCTATTGCTCTACTCCGTATATGTGAAGATCGTCTTGCAGAGGTTTTCCAAAATAACAATTTTGATCCTTTAATTTCATTTCATGTGGGACTATTATCTTTCGGTTTATAACCTTGACTTATTTGATTGAGAAGCACTTCAGACTGAATTGAACCAAGTTCATGTTCTTCACTTATTTTCTGGATGTTGTTTACTGAGGGGGTGTTATTGATTCATGATTGTTTGTTAGAACTAAGGACAATTGTCCAAGAATCCTAGTATCCTACATTCCAGGATTAGGATCAAGACTAGAATTTTTTATGTTGGATTCTTGGACTAAAGTTGGATTCCTACTGGTTGTTCATTTGATTCAAAGTGAAATAGGGGTGTGGGAGTGAACTTGAATTTGGACCGCATACTTGTAGACAGCATCACCAGTTCCCTTCAAATCTACTTAGGAAGTACAACTAAATCATCTTGAAATTACTACCTTGTCAAATTATAATTAATATTAGGGAACTGATTAGTGCATGATGTAGGACTTGTTTCATCTCAATCATCCATTCATTCTAACATAAATTCTATCAAAACGATCTAAATGATACCACTACTAGGCTCCATTTTCCCCATCCTCCAACAGCACATATCTATTTCTAAACTTTCCAGCATGTATATATCAATCATTTTTGGCTTATTTTGTGTACAACTAGTATTCATGACATAAAAGGAGTGTATAAAGGGAGCAGTTTGATGGTTCTTATTGGAATGTGGTTCGATGAATGTTATTTTGGATTTAGAAATTATAGCTACTGTTACCAACCTAACCAGAAAATGTTGCATCTTGTCTACTTTGAGAATTCTTTTTTTTAGTTCTTCCTCAAGTGCTCAATAATAAGATGAAAGGGCAACATAGGATCTTATCTAGCAGCACTATGGTTTTTCACAAAGTTTAGTTCTTTTCTATGTGAAACATGTCAAAAATGCCTAATTGGACCATATGAATTATGAAGGTTCTCTTGTGATGGGTCCATGCAAGAAGCATTTCAGGCATTTGCATGAATGATTCCTAATTGTGTCTCTGATTTATATTGTTGTTACATATTGAGGATCCTAACAGCCATTCAATCTATCCATATCTCAAATCTGTTTTGTTTGATATGATTTTCTTTTTCTTTGATACCAGGGATTGATACCTGGTGGAGCACTTAAGCCAGTGAATGCTGATCTGGACACTAACTTTGATGTAACTGAACATTATTGGTTTCCCATGTTGGCTGGTCTCTCTGATCTGTCATTGGATTCTAGATCAGAAGTTCGAAATTGTGCACTGGAAGTGCTCTTTGACTTGCTGAACGAAAGAGGCCATAAGTTTTCTTCAGCTTTCTGGGAGAACATTTTCCATCGTGTCCTTTTCCCTCTTTTTGATCATGTGCGGCATGCTGGAAGGGATGGTATTGCATCTTCTGGAGATGACTGGCTACGCGAAACAAGCATTCACTCACTTCAGTTACTATGCAACCTTTTTAATACTTTCTATAAGGTGCCAACATATTTTTAATTGAAAATATCCGGCATGATATACAGCATGAAAATTTGCATGATATTTAGTTTGTGGAGTGAAATCTAGCATTGTCTGTTCTGTACCAATTTAACCTTTCCCACTTGTCGGCTTCTTTACGTTCCTAGCATGTGCTGCCCACAGTAGCCATAATAGCAGGAGACCTGTTCATTATCTCCATCATGCATGCAACAAGCTTAGGCTTGATGCTTACATCTTCATTCCTTTTTTTTGCAGGAGGTATCTTTTATGCTTCCACCACTGCTTGGTCTACTTTTGGACTGTGCCAAGAAGACAGATCAAACTGTTGTTTCAATCTCTCTTGGTGCTTTAGTACATCTCATAGAGGTTGGTGGGCACCAATTCAATGAAAACGATTGGGATACTTTACTGAAGGGCATCAGGTAATACCTATTTAATAATATTAGCTTTTCGAAGGAGTACAGTGTAGAGTTTGAAATTTTTGAGCATCTAATCATATTACTACTAAATCAAGCAGAGATGCCTCATACACAACACAGCCTTTAGAACTTCTAAATTCATTAGGATTTGGGATCTTGAAGAACCAAAAAATGCCAACAAAGTGTACAGATACCAATGGAAGTGACAGTCTTTCCTTTAAGGACATTGATCATGTCGCAAATAGCGGTGGAAATTTCCTCGATCAGGCACCTTTAGGTTCTGATAGTGAGATATCTGGGAGGAACCTCAATAAGGAAAACCTGCAGAAGGATCATCAGGACACCAAAGTGCAGGCTACTTTGGAGGAACCGGAAGGTATAATATTGTTTGAATTACCGTTTAATCTTCCACGAAGAAAAGCGTTATTTACTCAATGCATCACTGAGACCTTATATAAGCGAATGGCTTATTATGAATCTAACGATATGCAATAAAAAACTCTTGCTAACTATCTTTCGCATGGGCATTTTTGTAGCTTGGCCATCTCCATGCAGGGAGCGGACATAAGCCTGGTGATGGTGTTACCTTGCGGCAAAAAAGTCAAACAATTTGGCAAAAGGTTTACTGGACTTTTATTAGATTACTTCGAATTCGTTCTGGTCGGTGTTCGCTAAGGTAGCGGAATTTCAATTTCTGAATCGAAAATCATGCACCATTCAAATATATATGAGTCATCTACTGTTTTAACTAAGAAGGGGTTTCGTACTGTTATATTTCAGTAGGAGTAATGAATTATACGGTTATCTTCCTTGTTAGACTGGACGGTCTCAGTGGATAGGCTTTATTTTAACTGGCACCCAGACTTAACCCCAAAAATTTGGAGTATAACAATAAAAGGCTTGTTAAGTAGGGACGCTTGAATTGAACTTTTGAATCGCGTATTAAAAAACAAGCTGGGTACTCGGTTTATCGCTTTGTTGGGCCTTCAATTTTCCCAATGTAACTATCTTCACATGAAACAATCGCTTTTTTAAAGTCAACATGAAACCTAAGGTTATCTGACACTTGATCTTGGCTCCCATATCCCGGTCTGTCCAATGTCCAAACTCCCCACACTTCTTCATATCTATACATACATTTATTCAAATGGTGTACTCAACTTATAATAACAACATGTTTTAGTTCAAAAAACTCTGATACACTTCTTGAATGTACATCTCAGCACTTCACCTCAAATCTTATGCATTCATTAGAGCCTCCCGGAATCATTAGCTTTGGCACATATCTCAATTCATAAGTATGATTTAAAAGGATCGTCTGGGTATCTAGATCAAATATGAGTGGTTTTTCATTAGTAATATATTGGTAAAAGAAAACATGATAATACTAGTTTTAAATTCTCAGCATAACATCTGAATGAAAAACAATACGATCTCATATAGATTATTAAATTTAATACTGTATTATATAGCTGAGCTCAAATGTGTACTCAATTATATAACACATGTTTTAGTTCAAAAAACTCGTGATACACTTCTTGAATGTATATCGTACACTTCACCTCAAATTTATGCAATTCATTAGACTCGGGACATAGCTTTGGCACATATCTAATTCATAAGTATGATTTTAAAGGATCGTTTGGGTATCTAGATCAAATATGAGTGGTTTTTCAATTAGTAATATACTTGGTAAAAGAAAACATGACAATGACATAGATTTTAATTCTCATAACATCTGAATGAAAAACAATACCGATCTCATATAGATTATTAATTTAATATGTATGTATATAGCTGAGCCCCCGTATCCTAACTTTTAGTATTTTGCCATGTCATGTATCCACACCTATGTTCGTGTCCACACTCGCATCCGTATCCGCGCAACATAGCATGAAACAATCCTTTAAAATACTTTAAACTTACAAATATTATATGAAGTAAATTTTAATATAAGCCTATACTACAAGTAAACAATAAATTGGAGTGTGAATGGATGTAAATGATGATTTAATAAATAGTCCCTTAAACTTAGATAAAAGCCTTCATATTTATCGTCTTGGGGTTCTACCGGGCACATGTCTTATTAAATTTAGATATAGACATCTATTAAAAACTTAAAAATAAACAATAAAGTCCTGCATAATTTTTGCCCAAGCTTGAATAAAAACATCCATATTTATCTTCTCTTGGTTTGGCAGACACCTCTTGTTAATGAAGTTCTTCTCTGTGTTAGGGTACACCTAATTACGCCCTCCATATTTATCTTCTCTTGATTTGGCAGGCACCTCTTGTTAATGAAGTTCTTCTCTGTGTTAGGGTACACCTAATTATGCCCTCCATATTTATTTTCTCTTGGTTTGGCAAGCACCTCTTGTTAATGAAGTTCTTGTTAATGAAGTTCTTCTCTGTGTTAGGGTACACCTAATTACGTCATCCATCTCTCTCTCTCTCTCTCTCTCTCTCTCTTCTCTCTCTGACAAACCTTGGGCATGCCCTAGCTTCTTGTCATCCTATGTGTTAGGGTATGCCATCCAGATCTCTCTCTCTCTCTCTCTCTCTCTCTCTCTCTCTCTCTTGTTGAATTACCGGTTTAATTCTTCCACGAGAAAGCTTATTTACTCAAGATGCATCACTGAGACCTTATATAGCGAATGGCTTATTATGATCTACATATCAATAAAAAACTCTTGCTACTTTCTTTCCATGCATTTTTGTAGGCTTGCCATCTCCATCAGGGAGCGGACATAAGCCTGGTGATGGTGTTACCTTCCAAAAAAGTCAAACATTTGGGCAAAGGTTTATGGACAACCTTTTACTTAGAAACCTTACTTCGAAATCTAAGAGCCATTCAGATGAAGTCGAAGTGCCAGCTTCACCTCTTAAGGTACGGAATTTCAATTTCTGACTGAAAAATCATGACATTCAATATATTATGAGTCATCTATGTTTTAACTAAGGGGTTTGTACTGTTATATTTCAGTAGGAGTATGATTATAGGTTATCTTCTTGTTAGACTGGAGGTTCAGTGGATAGGCTTATTTTACTGGACCCAGACTTAACCCAAAATTTGGAGTATAACAATAAAGCTTGTTAAGTACGCTTGGATTGAACTTTTGAAGTCCGTATTAAATAAACAAGCTGGGTATCGGGTTTATGCTTTGTTGGGCCTTAATTTTCCACATGTAGACTATCTTCACATGAAACAATCCGCTTTTTTAAAGTCACATGAAACCTAGGTTATCTGGACACTTGATCTTGGCTCCCATATCCGTGTCTGTGCCAATGTCCAACACTCCACACTTCTTCAATATATACATACATTTATTCAAATGTGTACTCAATTATATAACACATGTTTTAGTTCAAAAAACTCGTGATACACTTCTTGAATGTATATCGTACACTTCACCTCAAATTTATGCAATTCATTAGACTCGGGACATAGCTTTGGCACATATCTAATTCATAAGTATGATTTTAAAGGATCGTTTGGGTATCTAGATCAAATATGAGTGGTTTTTCAATTAGTAATATACTTGGTAAAAGAAAACATGACAATGACATAGATTTTAATTCTCATAACATCTGAATGAAAAACAATACCGATCTCATATAGATTATTAATTTAATATGTATGTATATAGCTGAGCCCCCGTATCCTAACTTTTAGTATTTTGCCATGTCATGTATCCACACCTATGTTCGTGTCCACACTCGCATCCGTATCCGCGCAACATAGCATGAAACAATCCTTTAAAATACTTTAAACTTACAAATATTATATGAAGTAAATTTTAATATAAGCCTATACTACAAGTAAACAATAAATTGGAGTGTGAATGGATGTAAATGATGATTTAATAAATAGTCCCTTAAACTTAGATAAAAGCCTTCATATTTATCGTCTTGGGGTTCTACCGGGCACATGTCTTATTAAATTTAGATATAGACATCTATTAAAAACTTAAAAATAAACAATAAAGTCCTGCATAATTTTTGCCCAAGCTTGAATAAAAACATCCATATTTATCTTCTCTTGGTTTGGCAGACACCTCTTGTTAATGAAGTTCTTCTCTGTGTTAGGGTACACCTAATTACGCCCTCCATATTTATCTTCTCTTGATTTGGCAGGCACCTCTTGTTAATGAAGTTCTTCTCTGTGTTAGGGTACACCTAATTATGCCCTCCATATTTATTTTCTCTTGGTTTGGCAAGCACCTCTTGTTAATGAAGTTCTTGTTAATGAAGTTCTTCTCTGTGTTAGGGTACACCTAATTACGTCATCCATCTCTCTCTCTCTCTCTCTCTCTCTCTCTTCTCTCTCTGACAAACCTTGGGCATGCCCTAGCTTCTTGTCATCCTATGTGTTAGGGTATGCCATCCAGATCTCTCTCTCTCTCTCTCTCTCTCTCTCTCTCTCTCTCTCTCTCTCTCTCTCTCTCTCTCTCTCACAAACCTTGGGCATGCCCTAGCTTCTTGTCATCCTATGTGTCAAGCATTAGTGCTTGTCATATTCTCTGTGACAAACCTTGGGCATGCCCTAGCTTCTTGTCATCCTATGTGTCAAGCATTAGTGCTTGTCATATTTAAGGCTGCTTGGTTTTGGATGTTGGTTCGTCATGCTAATCATTGATCTGACACCAGTTGTAAATACGTTGGGCTCTTATACTGATCAATAAGAAACAGGTGGATGAAGATTTGTTGAGGGAAATTATTTGGATATAGGAAGAATAAGATAAAAGATAAAGTGTTGACAGACACTACTGTTAGCCTCACACTGCGCAACTCACATGTCAGGCAACTCACATGCCAAAATAATACTTATTGCAACTCACGTTGCATGTTATCTCATGTAAACTGAGCTTTCATCATTTGTCCCTCCTACTCTGAAATGAAAACCACATTATTATTTAAAGAGAAATTCTAATCAAATTAAACAAACTCTTAACTAAAAGACAACAAATATCATAACTAAATATTCTAACTAACAGGTTAAACCAAACAATAATTCCTAACTGAATATCATCACTAAAACATCTAAACTAAAGAAAAATCAAATCCTTAAAAATAAAATCCTAACTAAATCTGATCTGTAGCCCTGGCAAATGCTTAAAGGAAAGGGATTAAGGAGACGGGTTAACATAGTTAGCCCATATGTTAGCTTGAATGGTTAAATTATTAAGCTGTTAAGTAAGATTTATGTCAACCCTTGTGACAATTTTTAGTGTTAAAAAATAATAAGGATTATGACTATTTTATTTATAAATTGAGGGATTATCTCTTAACCTCTGCCTAAATAGAAGTATTAAATAGAAGTATTAGTAAACCCCTCACTTTAAAAATTGAGGGTTTCCATTTTAACCCTTTCAGAGGGGTCATCCTTACCCTTCGCGTTTCGGTGTTTGGAAAATTATGGAGGGTTAACTCACTTTGTTCCTTGTATAGATTTTAGCGTTTGACAGGTTAACGAGAATTAACTCACCTTAAACTCTCAATTAACTTGTTGCCAAACAACACCAAACGGACTAGGATAGAGCCATGGAATAATTTTTTAGTTTGCTTTTATTTTTATAAAAAATACATAAATCTCTCAGTTATTGTGTGAGCATCACTGCTCTGGTTGCAAGGAGCAATGACAGGGTCCATGGACCATGACTTGAACTATCCCCTTGCTATATACTTGAATTAGATAAGAACTAAGAACTTCACAGTTAATCATCCTGAGCTGCTTTGTATTATTTATTTTCAAATATTTTTGGAGTGAAGGACTACTGGCATTGAGGTTCAATTTCAAATTTGTCGTTCTTGCATTAGAAGTATCAAGGAGTTGGCCAACATAGGCAAATATGGAACTCGTCAACATTAATTCTGTTTGTTGGTGCATTGCCATATTTGATCATACCGTTTTGGTTATCTTCCATTAGGAGGTTGTCTTTATGTGAGGTAGGCAAGTTATGAAGGAATTTCAGTAAATCTTATTCGTGGGAAACCTACCATTTTTTTATTTAAGCTTCACGAAGAAGGTATTGGCTAAAAGTTCTATGTGAAATCTGCCATTTGGTATGTTAGTTTCATCATTAGATGTGGATGAGATTTGTTTCTTACTACATCATATCTTCCAAATGTGTAAGTGCACATCTCAAATTTTGAGGCAGTCTTGTTCTGGTTTTTGGAGATGTTTCCTTCAGAAATTTGTGATGTGCTTTCACTTTATCTTGGGATATCAACGACATAAATCTAGTTTACTTCTTTCTTACTGTTGGATGTTTAATGCAGATTCCTGATGCTGACGAGTCTACCGCTAACGAAGATGAGGAGAACCCACTGTTAGAAACTGTGAGGGGGAAATGTATCACTCAACTTCTACTGTTAGGTGCCCTGAATAGCATACAGGTGAAGATAAGCTTCTGATGAGAGAGAATTTCTCTATGCTGCTTATAATTGCATTTCGTGACAAGTTAGTACTCATTTTAACAATAAACTTTGTTGTAACATATAAAATTTGCAGATGAAATACTGGAGCAAATTGAAAGCTCCACAGAAGGTCACAATAATGGACATTTTATTGTCACTATTAGAGTTTGCTGCTTCATATAATTCAACTTCCAATCTCAGAATGCGAATGCACCAGACACCTTCAGAAAGGTATGCAACATATTCATTACTTTTCTTACCCTGGGAGCTTCTATAATCCTGTCACTCAAAACTTCTTGCACAGGCCACCATTGAATCTTCTGCGTCAGGAAATAGAAGGAACGTCCATTTATTTGGATATCTTAGACAAAACTACCTCTACGAATGACTCAAACAGTGATGAGCACATAAATGTCAACGGTAGTCGGGAGACTGTAGTATCAGATGACTTTGCAGAAACATCAAATTCAGAAGAGAAGCTTAAAATCTTAGCAGAAGAGAAATTAGTTGCTTTCTGTGGACAGATTCTGAAAGAGGCTTCTGACCTCCAGCCCCTTACTGGGGAGGCTGCTAGTGCAGATATGCATCGGGTGCTTGACTTGCGAGCTCCAATTGTTGTAAAGGTAAATACAATCCTTTCAGGGCTTTGTAGTCTTAAGCCTCCCTGTAATGTCATATGTAGTGTACATGCAATTCATTATGAGAGATTTTTAGCAGAGTGATATGTTTGATATAGTTTTCACTATTTCTCTGTTGCATGACCCATTCCAATTTATTTATATGTACCAGAGTTGCACCACCAGCAGCATTGATCTGTTAAGCTTGAGAGCCATTTACAAAGATCTCATAGAATAATCAGAATATTGTAACACCATGATATATGTATCCGAGTTGCACTACCACCAGCATTGATCCGTTAAGCTTTGGAGCCATTTTCAAAGATATCATAGAATTATGAGAATATGGTAATAACCGTCATTGTATGTTAATGTTTATTACACAGTGCACTTTTGATTTTTTATGCTTGAAAAAAAGGAACATGGAAGAGAATATTCAACTGGATCTGTGATCATGCAGAAGAGTAAGGATAGAAGTTGTGTGATAGCCTGATGCAGCATGATCACTAAAATGTACACATGATGCATACAAAAGGTAGATTAGGATATTCTAAAATGAAGGAACACGAGGATGATTGGAAAGTTAATGCAAACACACAAACTCATCTATATAAGATAGCTGGATACAGCTTAAGCAAAAATAGAGAGAGATCATGGTCATTCTGATAGTCGTAGTTAGTTAGCCTACTTCCAGTCAAACTAATGTTCTTCGTAGCGTGAAGCATTATGATCTATAAAGCTTGGGCCTGTTGCTTAATAAGTTAATAACTGATATCGATGCATATTGTCACTGATTTATATGGTTTATAGAGATATGGATATTGTCGTGATGGCAACGGTGTCTAGTTTTAGAAATTCAAGTAGTAGAAGTATAAAGGATTTATCGTAGGAACGTCAACTGATAACCTATGATACGTAGGACATTTCCTCAGGGCCCTAACAAAGAATTGGCATTTGCTACACATCTGGACACAACACATGTTTCATACATGTAAACATGAACAATTTTGTAAAATGCTATTTACCTAAAAGACTATGCTGTGCTCTTTAGGGGGGGAAATATAATTACTTTACACATTTCATACACAAGTAACAACAAAATGCGTATAGATGTTAGCGAAGCAAATGCTTACTTAGATGAAATTCATAGTTCTCTCTGTGTTACTTGCTGTGTATAACACTTTGTGTCCATGTTGGAGCAGCACATATCTACTAGTAGTAGCTACTAATGTGCCTTGGCCCTTAGATGATTAATGAACTCTTACAAGGGCTTTATTAATTGGTCTTTGGTAATCTTCATAGTCATTCTTAATATGAGTTAGTCATCCATGATTTAGGACTAGTGTTACAGCACCAGGTAGGCAGGTATTACTCAAATGTTTGGTCTAGAACCAATGGGGTTATGTTTTAAAGCCCACATGATACGTTACCCCATCCATTTCTTTGAAAAAGAATACAACTATAAAATCCATGATTCAGAGAGTCCATTTCCTATTTGTTTTCCCCGTCACAGTTCATATATCTTCCTTTAGCTTGAGTACTTGAGCCTGAAGAGACCACTGTCTTGCTGAAGTACGATTATGTGTTTTCATCATTTTCTTGTCCTCAGCAAGATTGAAATCTTATGTTCGTAGCCATCCCCTTGCCCATCCTGTAGTTGTCATACCTTCTGTTACTAATGCTAAGCAGAAAAAGTTGCTCAAGGTTTAAGTAATCTTCCTCAACAGAAGGAACTATGATAAACCATAGGGAGCCTAGAGTTCTCATCTGGTTGATGGGATGTATGGTTTGAAGTAATCCATCTTGTTAGAAGTAACTATGATTAATTATGAAGATTCTGGAGTTTTCATTTAGTTAATGTGGCATGTTAATGGGTTTGATGATATTGAAGTTATCTCTATGACAAGCTATAACTGCATGAAGAGACTGGAGAGCTTCTATTGGAGGTGTACCTTGTTATAAATCAACAGAAACTGCAAAACCTTTGGCCTTCACACTTGACTCTCAAGACTTAGTAAAAATTACAGAAGTCAGATGACACTCTGGATAATGAAATAGACAATCAGAAAAAGGTAATGGAGATCAGACTTAACTGTCATACATGATGCATTGAGAAAGAAGGTTGAATTAGTGAAGAAGGATCCTTAATAAGCCAGCTTTGATGTGTAAGACCTTTATACTTTGTGGGGTTGCATCAAAACTGATGTCTTCAAGGGATTTAAGACATAAGTGTGGTCCTTGAGATATTCCTCTTTGAGTGCCCTGGAGAATTCATTTTCAGAAAACTTTGTATAGATCCATATGCTGATTGGAAGGGTAATGTGTTGAGATGTGATTGCAGCGTTAAGAATGTAGACATAATTGATTGATATGGAATTAATGGATCAATTTGCTTCCTAACTGCTGTAGAAAGATCTGGTGATAGATAAGAACACCTGCAGTAGAATTAAGACCATATAGGACGATTTTTAAACATGGCTTCTGTAGTAAGCGAAAGGAACTAATCACATGTTTTGCTGGTTAATGAGCATGGTATCTTTGTGCTAGAAGATCCGAATTGTGGTTGATATGAGCCAAATCAGAATGTGGTTAGAAAATATACCTTGCAAAATGGTGTATCCTATTTCTGATCGAAATGAAGGACATTTATAGCACAGAAGATAGAGAATGGTCATTACTGGTGAACATTAACACCCCCCTCCCGCGTGGCAAACAACCAAAAGAAATAAGAGAAAGATGTTGATGTATAGCTGTACATGTGATGATTTCGTTGTTGTGAGGTAGCCCTTTCATCACTTATCATCTTCTCCTCATATTGTTGCTTTGCATAATCAACATGGTAAAAAGGTTCATAGTAGTTTCACAGTACCCGATTCCTATGTGGAAACTATCATTGAGGGACCTCACTTCTGCAGCGGCAAAGCATCATGGCGGCAGTTTGTTTTGTAGTCTTATGGTACCAGGCCCAAAGCTTGCCTTTCTTGCTTCCAGTTCTGAATTGAAATCTATGCTTTAGCAATAATTCTTCAGAAGATCTCCCTGCCATCGTTCAGCATGCTCACTCCATGTACTTTTAGAATATTGTGGCAGCAGTTTGCTTTGTAATGGCAATTTACAATGTAGTCTTATGGTCTGTGTTTCTCTAATTTTTATAACTAATTCTTTGCACACATGCAAATGCATTATTGGCTCAGTTGTTTGACCACTGCTTTATCAATAATGTCCATTTGTTACGCACAAGTAGCCCCCTCTCTTGCAATTGTTTCTTAAGTGATTCAAATATCTTCAATTAACTCTATGAGTTGTTTACTAAACTAGAGAATAAATACTTTTACTCCAACATCATGTCACTTCTAAGTTTTAGAAAATCAGTAAATTAGCTTTCATTTGGCAGACATTAGTGAATTCAAAGCTTAGGCTACAGTTTGCTCAATGATCCAGGTTCTGGTCTATGCTTTTGTGTTACAAAACCTTCTGTGAAAAAATTCCAAGCAGCGTATGGTTTTGGTTTTATATTCTGTTTTTTAATCATCAATACTTTGCATTATGATCATTGCCTGAGAACAAAGGGCCCGGTGTACTACCTTTAGATTAATGTTTCAGTTTCATCTGTGTAATGAATAAATCCTTCTTAGGCCTTAGGCATATTCTCTACCCTCTTACTGTATAATATATCATATGTTTTCATGTTGTTTTTCACTTAGTAATGACTTATATCAGAAAGAGGACAATTGACTTTGTCCCCTCTTTGATAGTGCGCGAACTTTCTTATTTTCATACTACTTGAAAACATTCTTTACATGACTTCTAAAAGAAATAGTCTGAAGGTGGCAAATTAAGCTGGTGTCTCCTTGTATGATCCTTGCTATTGCTAAAATCTAGGCAGTCTCTTCTTTTTTTTCTCGGACAAAATACCTAACTCATCCTTAAAGTATTGGTGAACTCTCAATTTCTCCCCTATAGTATCAATTTACTGATTTTTTCTCCTCAAACTATGTTTCTAGTTTCAACGTGGAAATTTTGTTAGCCTATAGTCAAATATTTAAAAATCAATGACAGTGACAGTGCCTTTTTGCATTTCTTCATTTGTTTATGTTTATATCAGTCTATCTCCTTTGTTCCCAAACCAAAAAAATCTTAATTACTTTCCCCTGAAACTTTTTAGCCATTGATCCTTATAGGAATTGAAATTTTTTTTTTTTTTTTTTTTGCAGAAAATACCATAAATATCAAAAGCATTATCAGATCATTTATCTGTTAAATATTTGACTGTAGACTCACAAAATGATCATATTGGGCATATACACATAGTTCAAGAACGAAACTAGGCAAATTGATACTTTAGAGGGGAAGTTGAGAGTTCACCATGAGGAGGGGGATTTGATCATTTTGTCCTTTTTTCTTCTCAAACAATTGAAGCTACCATTATCTCTGGAACTGATGTTTAGATCCTTAAGTCCCAAACAATTTTGAGTACATGTTTATGCTTATACTCCCTAAATAACATTATTCCATTTGGTCTTTCAGGTACTCAAAGGTATGTGCCGGATGGAAAGGCAGATATTCAAAAAACATCTAAGGGACTTCTATCCTTTAATTACTAAGCTTGTCTGCTGTGATCAGGTAAACTAAAATTTACATTCATTTTCTAGAACCACCTGTTATTTCTTTGTGATTCCCTATAGTAGATTTATATGTTGCTTCTAGTTTCTATTCAATGTTTTAATTATAGTTTTAGTAGGACATGTAAATGATGAAGGCGTTAACTAATTTTGCTAACACTTCCAAGTTCTTTTTTTGGGTGATGTGTTGGGCATTAGACCACTTAGATATGCCCCCAAAAACTACTAAAATTGCTTAGACTAAGAATGCGAGACAGACTTCCAACAGATCCCACGAAGTTCTGTATTACACTATTGCCACTCCACACAATCATCTGTGTAGAGGATGCATATGTTGCAGCTAGCAAGGCTCTAGATTCCTTAAGATGATTTTTCATTTTGTACTCAAATTCACATAGGGGCATGGGCACCTATAGGATATAGGTATGGCATAATAATGGGATGATGAGATTTTGGAAAAATTCTCATTAGGACATTTGGAATGCCAGAATATTTGTGGCATGTTCAGATAGAAGTATTAATGGCTATTCTTTTTACAATGGAAAGAAATACTATACATAGTGGAATCCTCATTAGGACATTTGGATGCCAGGATATCTGTGGCATGTTCAGATAGAAGTGTTAATGGCTATTCTTTTTACAATGGAAAGAAATACTAAATATAGTGGAATCCTTCATCCAGAGGCTGTGTCTCCATGCCTATGCCATCTATTATTTAGGTGGGTTACTGTTACTTAGATGGGTGAATTAACAACTTTCAGGATGAGTTTTGCCTCCATTGTACCAAAAGAATCCAGAGTTTTCCCATTGCAGCTAGTCTTGCACAATGTGGGTTGGTGGGAGAAACAGAAATTTAACTACTTTTTTATATGCATGCTTAGCTTCTCATGTAAAATATTTTAAAACAAAAACAGCTCCTATGCCACACTTCTTTGTTTCTTTTGTCTTCCTTCTCACCTTCTCCTCCCTTCTTTAATTATTGCTTTTTCTCTCTTCTGTTCCTTCTTCATTTCTTTTTCTAGTCTTCTCCCTTTCTTTTATTCTTCCTCATTTCGATACTTCTTAAACTGCTTGGACATGTGTCACAGTCACACTCCTCGAACATACACTTTTTTTTAATTTAGTTATGAAACTTAGGAGACACTTCTTCGACAGATTCTATAGTTCTCTGGTATCTTTTATTCACATTTCATATCAAGATACTTATTTACTTTCATTTTTATAGCAAAGACCAAGGTGGAAAAAGATTTTTAAAGAGCTTCCAGTGTAGGTTTTAGACCCAAAACTTGTCTATTATTAAGCAGATAAGATACAGGTCGAGTTTGTTCCTGACCTGGTTGGTTCATTGTATGTTAATAAGCAAACCGGTACTTCAAGCTAAGTTTGTTCTGTCTTAAGGGTCTGTTCGGGTGCAAATATACTGGATCCTTACACTACCTGATTGGAGTTCTAAATCTTAATTGTAGATCCATATACAACTCATGACGCTGCTAGGCTTTGGAGTGGTCGGGAATATTTGGGAATAGACTTGGCTTGGGTGCAATTAACTCTGACCCACTTATGACCCCCATTAAAATGTTGGATTTTATTGGACTAGGATAAGTTCAGATATGTTCCATTACAAGAAATATAAGAAATATTATATGTTGAACTACTCAAATAATGAAAAGCCAAAGGACTATTTATTTTGCAAAGTATGTGTGTGTGTCTGTATACATATATACATACATATGTACGGTATGTATAGACACACACGCGCGCGCGCGCGCACACACACACACACAAATATATATATATATATATAGTGGACTTTTGAGTGCATGCACATGTTTAAATTGTGTATACAGGTACTCGATCATTATTTTATATATTATTGTGGCCTCATTGTGCCCCAATGTCCTAATTTTTTTCGGAGTTTCTGTTTCATGTGTCCTACTTATGACATTGTCCTGTAATTATGTCTTTGTCCATGCTTTTTAGATTACAGATCTGGGCTACAATTTTAAGATAGTTTACGTATAAATTTGCTTTTGGTAGCTAGCAAAGAGAAGAATTCGGTCAATGGATCATTATTCTATATGTTTGTTAGTTGTCTTGCATCTTGTTCCAAATATGGGGAAAATGAAAGTATATGTTGACTAGTTTGCTGGCCTCTCCTTTCTTCTAGGGACAAGGCTATTTGGGAAGTAACTTAAGAGTTTAAACATCAAATTTTCTGAGAAAATTTGTTGTTGATAAATTGCGACTGAAATTTCTGAAACTCTGTAACACTGTCAGATGCAATCCAAGCCCCAATTCTGTCTTCTGCAGTACTCTTTTGCTTTCCCTTCTGCAGTACTCTTTTGCTTTCCCTTTGTTCTCTGCTAGTAGCAGTGTACTGACATTGAAGTATTTGTTTTTGTTCTTTTCTGTAGAGAACTGACATTGAAGTATTTATTTTTGTTCTTTTCTATATTTCACCATCCATATTTCCTGTTATCACAGATGAAAATTTTGATCTTTTCTGCATTAACAGTGCACAAAAACCCAATGATTTTTATTCCTTGGCATGAATCACATAATTTGTTTACTGTCAAATTTTTGAATCGATTTTTCTTTGCCTGCTGTATGTCAGATGGATGTTCGTGGAGCACTTGGTGATCTTTTCAGTACTCAACTAACCTCGCTTTTGCCATAGCTTCATCTTGTGTAATTGATGCTTTTCTTTGACCATGAGGGTGTATGAAGCCCATCGTCCTATCAGGATAGAAGGTGAACAAGGATGGAGATGAACACATATATTATATGATGCGTTCTCCCGTCATCATGAAAATGGGTTAACTGGTGCAAAATTGATTCGGAAAGCTTATGCTGCTCCCGAGCTCTCAGAATTATCAAGTACACCCTAAGTGCAATGAATGGCTATGTTCTATGCTGTTAGATGAGAAACAAGCTCGTAACTGACAGTTGATTGTCTTCTTCCTTGGCTTTGGTATCATGTTGTTATATATTATGTCCATTCACTTCTCATGTATAGAGAAGAAACAATCTCACTTTAATTTTTCTTTTCCCTTTGTATTTTTTTGGAGCGAGGTTTGTAGAGTCCGCGTTTCTTCTAATATGATTTAGCACCCTTCCATAGATCAGGGAATGTGAGATGAAGGTAAAACTAATATTATATGTTATGGTCTTACTGCTTCTTTGAAGTTATATACACTTAACGTGAGGACTAGGAACTGCACTGTATCTTTGAATAAAAATTTTCATATTTTGTAGGATCCTCATGAAAGGAATTATATCGATAAGGGTGTCAAAAGGAAGAGAAGGTTAACGTATGAAAATTCCATGTCTATCTATGTTAGAAGGAATTGAATGGAATTAATGTGAGAATATAATAGTCATTCTTATTCTCACGTTTGGATGTAATTTATAAAATGAAGTGAGAATGGACGTATTTTAAAATTATATATTTTATTGATTTTCATTTAAGTGAGAATGCTCATTCTCCCATAAAGTGGGAATTGATGAGAAGTGAGAATGAGCATTCTAACTTTAAAAAAGAGGGTGTGTTTGGTAGGAATGAATGAGAAGTGAGAATGATCATTCCATTCCACCCCATTCCCGCGTACCTACCAAACGAGATCTAAGTTTCACTAACCTTGCGCTTAGGTGACCCCTGTTTTAAAATCAAACAAAAAAATTACCCAGAAGTGTTGTAGATAAATGCTTTAAGGCCCCGTTTGGCAAAGGGTTAAAGGAAGAGGAGTTAAAGAGAAATATTAATGTACTTAGCCCATTCGATAATCCGAAAGACTAAATTATTAACCCGTTAAATAAGTTTTATTTTAGCGCTTGTGATCAGTTTTAGTGTTTGGGAATAACAATGATTTTGATTATTTTTTTTATAATTAGAAGGATTAACTTTTAATCCTTCTAAATAGGAGTATTAGTAAACCCCTCATTTTGAGGGGTTAACTCATTTTAATCCCTCTAGAGGGGTTAGCTTAATCCTTCTATATTTTTTATGTTTGACAAATTATAGAGGGTTAACTTACTTTAACATTTGTATAGATTTTTTGTGTTTGGCAGGTTAAGAAGGGATTAAGTCTCCTTAACCCCTCACTTAATCCTTTGCCAAACAGTACCTAAAAGTTTTAAAATGTTTCACATTTGTACCCTCTTGTTTATTTAATATTGCATGTTGGTTCCTCTTGTTTGCTTAATATCGTATGTTGCATATTGCATATTGTGTATAAATATCCTTTGTTGGTAAATAGTCTCACTCAAATATCCTATAGTTTTACTTTAGTACATTCTGGTATGTGATATCTTGGATATGTGGAGAAATGTTAGTGCCATTTAGGTTTTTTTTAACTATAGAGCCATCATCTGTAACGTTTAAATACTTTTGGGGTTTTTTTTTTTTTTTTTTTTTGCTCGGTTTTAAGATGAAAGTCACTTAAATGCAAGGTTGGTGGAACTATAGCTATTTAAGTGCAATTTAGCCAATAAATTATCTAAGATATACATAATGTTGTTGACGGTGACCATCACTTTATAATTTAATTGAAGTGGGAGTGGGTGAGGTTTCTAACGAAACCAACGAACGAAATGTTTAAATAATCGATTATTCTAACTTCATAAAAAAAAACATTTATGATGGTATGTTTTTTATCATGTATGTGTGATAGCTATCTACAAAACTATCTTATATGCCTAATCAAATTTGGACGTATTTCAACATCAGTGAGAGCACTACAAATCAGAAGATTATGCAGCAATTGTACAGTCAGTGTAATACAATCTCTTTCTCAAAACATGTTTTAATGATTTTGACAAAATCGAACCGAAGTATTCAATTGGTTCGGTTTTCAACAATTTTGACAAAATCGAACCGAACTATTCAATATTCAAAATTGAACTGAACCAATTGAAATTAATTCCCATCGGTTTGGTTGGGCTTATTCAGTTTTGGATTGGACTCATTTAATCTATATCTATATCTTATCTTATCTTACATATATAAATGAGGATTTTGGTGCTAAAACTTTTAATTATCCTTTTTACCCTTTTTAATTTGATAAATCCAACTTTAATTATTTTATTTATTTAGTTTATTTCAAACTTTTATTCAATGAGTTAAATTAAATTAAATTAAATTAATTACACATCGTCATAATATTAAGATTTAATTAGTTTCTTAGTCTCTTAATGATTTCATAACTTATATAATCTTATACTTCTTATGCTATTATAAATTTTGTACGATGTTAAAACATTTTTTGTGAAAATATCCCTCACCACATACGTACATACATACATGATTATGCATAAATGCTCAATATAAATGTGATAATTATCCTTTCCAATAATTTCATATCCCTACATATACATAAATAACATCATATATGTTAGAATTCTTTTCAAAAATTCCCCTCAATTGCATGAGTATTCATTAAAGTCCCTCTATTCACATTCTCATTCAAATAATTTATAAAAATTTAATGGTGTAGTAGTAATTAAGGGAAACAATTTGGACAAATAAATTACCCTTTTTGATCTGTTGTTGAGTCCGATTGAGTGGGACGTAAACCGTTGCCACTTTATTGTCTAGAGTAATAACAAATTAATAATTACTTCAATTGCAATTTATTTTTATTTTAGTATTACTAATTGCTAAATAATAATTACTCGTTGTTGACTTCTCACCTCAAATGAACTGCTTCCTCATCCTTCCCGTCTACCTATTCCACTTACTATATGATTAACTATTGATTTCTTATTTAAACTCCATTAGGCAAAGGGTGCATGTGTTTTGAAATTTTGAATTCCAAGAGGAGGGAAAGGAATGAGTGGGGCGAAGATGGACGGTGCAAGTAATGTACAGTACCATGTGAGGTCATAATTACAAATACAAAATTAAAAGTAATCACTTCTTTAACAGCTTATGTATTAAAATTCACTGTGTACATTTTGTTTCAATAAAGTATTAAACTTTCTTCTCTTATGCCTACAACAAAAACAAAGAGAAAACAACAACCACAACCAACAGAAACAAAGCCAACATAGGCCCTGACGCTGCCACTGCTACATCGATGCATGACCATGGGGAAAATAGATCGTTAATATTCGAGACTCACATTAACCTCAACATAGGCCCTGACGCTGCCACTGCTACATCGATGCATGGCCATAGGGAAAATAGATCGTTAATACATCGATGCATGGCCATGGGGAAAATAGATCGTTAATATTCGAGACTGTTGAGGTTAATGCCCACACCTACAATAAGACTATCCTCCCTTTCTGGGAAACTGAGCTAAGCTTAACTTTCCCAAAAATAGCCACCTTTGACCGCAGCTGTCACCGCATAATGATAACCTCTCCGGCAAAGACACTTGAAAAAGAAGCAGAGAGTTTAATTTAAGGTTTTGATAAAAGGTTACTGCATATGATCATATCACAATCAATAGGAGGGGAGGTCATGGGTGGTGATGAGACGAATTTCTAGTCTGATTTGAAGCTTTCATTAGTAACTTGGCTTTTCAAGTGGGCAACATTGAATTTGCTTGGTTATTTGATAATGCAAGAAGTGTGGGTTGTTAACATTTTTGTTATGGTGAATGTTTTTGGAATTGAGGGTTTAAGTTTAAGACAGCTTAAGGATTGAGCAACCTATTAGCAATTTTAATCATTGGAGGAATTACATTTAAAATAACTTAAGGAATTATGTTTAAAATAACTTAAGAATGTTAAGGGATAGCAATTTCAATCATTGGAGGGATTACATTTAAAATAACTTAAGGAATTATGTTGAAAATAACTTAAGAATGTTAAGGGACATCATGTTGTGCGCAGCGGAAATTTCGACAGCACCTCCGGTGCGCAAGGTGCACAACAAGAGATTAGATCACAATGAAATTCTAGTTTCTCAAAGGAAACAAGAACCAAAAGTCAGATATCTCATCAAAGTGAGATATCAGCTCTTCCTCTCGTCAGCTCTAGGACTGCGCGTCGAGGGAACCTACAAGCTATTACAAATCACGACAAGAACACAAATTTTACGTGGTTCGGCAAATAGCCTACGTCCACGGGGCAAGGAGGGGGAGAGATCTACTATTAGAGGGAGAGATACAATTGAGGTTTACAATCTCATAAATAAAACCTTCTCACAAACTCTCAGATCCCTCACACAAATATTCTCACAAAAGGGGATGCTAAAAACAAAGAACATCTACAAAAGACTTGCTTTTCTTCCGTGAATAGCCACCAAAAGCACTGCTCCTTTTGTTCTCTGTGTCTGCTGCAGCCGCCAAAAGAAAACCCTAGCCTTGCACTCTTCCGCAGCCGCAAAAAAAAAAAAGGAATAAAACAAAAATCCTTCCTTGCACGCACAACCGCCAAGGCTCTGTAAACAATCGGTAAAATCCCTCCTTCGCACACAGCCCTAGGGATTTTTGCTATTATTTATACCTATTGAATCGGGTGGGCATGAGTTGTTATCTCACATATTCTCTTCACGAGATTTTTCTCGTGGTCCCCACAAAACGTGTGAAAACACACGCGTCCATAATTCTCCACCACGGTGAAGTTTCTTCCAAAACTGAGCCGACACTAAAGCAACCCAAATGTCCCACTTGTTGTGTCCAGTACGCCATGGCAACAGACTCATGACAACAGACTCCATCTACAACACGTTGAGACACAAACGGGAGTGCAAACACTCACCCAAAACAACAGTGTCTAATCACCAAATCGGCTGCATCAAAAACTGATTGCCTACGTATCCTCTTGCCCAAGGAATCAAGCCTTCACGTAGTTCACCCAAATGGCCACAAACGACCTCAATCCAATAGAAGAGTTCGTAATCCTTTTCCAACATCACGATCAAGTCTAAGGCTGATAGCACCTCTAATGGCCATAAACTAAAATAATCCAAACATCTCCACCTGAGATGAACCAATGGCCATATCCAGACTACATCTATCAGTTGTACTCGAATCAATCAACCTATCATCTGCATCCAAATCAACACGATTCCCAATCTGTGTCACATCAGCTGGAATCCCAAATGATGCAGTATGATCTGGAGTTTCCACCCAACGTGGAGTAGCACACTCTCCACCCGCTGCGATATCCCAAATATCTGATCACCACTCTCTACCTGCCGAGAGTCAAATGTGATATATCTGCTCAGAACAAAGTCAGAAGCCAATACATGATAATCAAACACGCCTCTGAATCCCAAATGTGCTATTGGATCAAATATCACATCCAC